GAACTGTGGAGGAAGGTGAGTGCTGAACTGGTGAGGAACGGTGAATAACTGATGTGGGACGTGGGGAACTTATTGTGGAACTGTGTGAACTGATTGTAACTATGGGGGAACTGTGAGGAACTGAGTGTGGAACTGTGAGGAACTGAGTGGAACTATGAGGAACTGAGTGTGGAACTGTGAGGAAGTGAGTGTGGAACTGTGTGGAACTGTGAGGAACTGAGTATGGAACTGTGTGGAACTTAGTGTGGAACTGTGTGGAACTGAGTGTGGAACTGTGAGGAACTGTGAAGAACTGACTGTGGGACTGTGTGGAACTTAGTGTGGAACTGTGTGGAACTGTGAGGAACTGAGTATGGAACTGTGAGGAACTGAGTGTAGAAGTGAGTGTGGAACTGTGTGGAACTGTGAGGAACTGAGTGTGGAACTGTGAGCAACTGTGAGGAACCGACTGTGGGACTGTGTGGAACTGTGAGGAACTGAGTGTGGAACTGTGAGAAACTGTGAGGGACTACGTGTGGAACCATGAGGAACTGTGTGGAAGTGGGAGGTACTGGGTGGGAACTGTGTGGAACTGTGAGAAACTGTGAGGGACTAAGTGTGGAACTGTGAGGAACTGTGAGGAACTGTGTGGAACTGTGAGGAACTGAGTGTGGAACTGTGAGCAACTGTGAGGAACTGACTGTGGGACTGTGTGGAACTGAGTGTGGAACTGTGTGGAACTGTGAGGAACTGACTGTGAGACTGTGTGGAACTGAGTGTGGAACCGTGTGGAACTGTGAGGAACTGAGTGTGGAACTGTGAGAAACTGTGAGGACTAAGTGTGGAACGGTGAGGAACTGTGTGGAACTGGGAGGAACTGGGTGGGAACTGAGTGTGGAACTGTGAGAAACTGTGAGGGACTAAGTGTGGAACTGTGAGGAACTAAGTGTGCAACTGTGAGGAACTGTGTGGAACTGAGTGTGGAACTGTGTGGAACTCAATGTGGAACTGTGAGGAACTGAATCTGGAACTGTGTGGAACTGTGTGGAACTATGAGGGACTACGTGTGGAACTGAAGAACTGAGTGTGGAACTGCGAGGAACTGAGTGTGGAACTGTGTGGAACTCAGCATGGAACTGTGAGGGACTGAGTGTGGAACTGTGAGCAACTGTGAGGAACTGAGTGTGGAACTGTGTGGAACTGAGTGTGAAACTGTGAGGAACTGAGTGTGGAACTGTGTGGAACTGAGTGTGAAACTGTGAGGAACTGAGTGTGGTACTGAGTGCGGAACTGTGAGGAACTGAGTGTGGAACTGTGAGGAACTGAGCTGTGTGTGGAACTGTGTGTGGAACTGTGTGTGTGGAACTGTGTGTGTGGAACTGTGTGTGTGGAGCTGTGTGTGTGGAACTGTGTGTGGAACAGTGTGTGTGGAGCTGTGTGTGTGGAGTTGTGTGTGTGGAGTTGTGTGTGTGGA